TACATTGATGTTTTGTTTGTTTTTCGCACTAATAAAGTTGTGGAGTTGTAAAGTATTTTGTCTAGTGTCAATTATATCGTCAGTTATATCGTTATTGCAATTTTTCAAATGTATATCGTAATAAATATTTCTGGTCATATCGCCCTGCTCTACATCAGAATATGATTGTTAGATGGAAAGCACTAAAGCGTATGAATGGGTTAATGCGGTTGTATAAAGTGCTTCGGAGCTCCAGGACAATAGAAAAGTGCTATATAGAAATCAGTCCATTTAATAGACACGTTGATGGTTTGTAGAACGTATGTATTGAAGTTAACACCAAAACTCAAGCACTTCTGATTTAAGGCTTTCTTTTTCAGTGGAGCCAAAGTATCCAAGGTCATACGCAGTGAGGATGTAAGACTGTTAACAAGATAACCGACCTCTGTGGGAGTAGAGTTCAGGTAGCTGCTCTGCACTGTGTTGGCACATGGCATTGAAAAAGATGAAAGAAAATGAATTGCATCCTTGAAGTTTCAAATAGACATCTACTGTAATGACATTCATTAACCCCTCCTGTGCAATCCATTATTATATTATTATGCTAACTATCGTTATGTTTATTTTTATAAGAACAGGTTCAGTTTAAGAAAACAATAATTCTTACCTGCTGTAGGTTTATTAACACATCTATGTCAGGGGCATGACCTCCTGTAGCCATGGGGCCCGGCAAGCAGCCAGAGGGTAGAGCAGACCTCTAAAACGTGCAGGGTCCTGCAGGGAAGTGGACTAGTGTGGCTGGAATGAGGGGAGACTGGCTATGGAATTGCTGTGAGGAAGATGATGCGGTGGACGTGACTGGACCAACAAGAGTGGTCCAAGAAGTGGGTGACAAAGGTCAAAGTGTTTAGGTGTTGGGGCCAGGTAGGGTTTGTGTCTTTGGGAGAGGGGAATAAGCAGGAGAGAGAAAGAGGGAAAGAAGGGCTGCACGGCAGGAACCTGGAGGAGGACGGGATCAGCCCTTCTCTTTCACTGCTGGGGATCCAGGAAGCCTTTGGGGTGGCATAACCTGCTGGAGAATGAACAGGGTAGGAGGTTAGCAGTCAGATATGATGGATAGTTTCTCCAGTGACCAAGCACATGTAAGGTTATGCAAATATAGTACATAATCACCATATGCTGATGGATACACACCCAAAGAAACACAGTCATATATAACCACAAATTACACACAGTAAACTAAAAGTCCACAGACAAATCTGAAAACAAAATGTGAATCAGAGAATCTAATTTTATTTTTTTTTCCTTTTTAAAAAATGTTGAGGTTTTTTTCAGCTAGGTAGCTTAGCATAATTACAGGAAGTGGTCCAAATTAAACAATGTTCTGTAAAAACATAACAAAATCCACCTATAAGCAAGTCTAAAGTTTGCTATTGCTGATTATAAAGCGCTGTGAGTGCTCAGAGTAGAAA